GGATCGATATTGTGAATTTCTTTCTTCGTTCAACGATAATGTTATTAAACTTATCAGATGTTACGAAAAAAATTTACATAAAATAAATAGACAACACTTGTCTATATTATTTAATGAAACGTATGAATGAAAAGATGCTGTCTAAATACACACACACAATATATATATATATATATATATATATATATATATATATATATATATATATATATAAATGGTAGAAATTAAGGAGGATTTGAGATAATTAAGTTATTCACCGAGTTATCAACAGAATGCAGAAAGCATTGGACGGCCGTTTCGTCCTATATTTGGGACTCATCAGCAGTGCGGATGCACTACCGAGAATTGAAACCTGGGCAGCTACATCGACAGGCAAACCTCAACCAACTGTCTTAACGGGCCTCTGTGACAAAGAGGTTGCGAACTAGACTCGATATTACGCCGCTCATTCACATATTCTGTGATGGAACTCATCCAAGTTCCTTTACCCATAGGATTGTGCCCCCAGAGCCACGACTACTATCCCCAATATACATATATATATATATATATATATATATATATATATATATATATATATAATTTTTTTAAAAAATTATAACATAAGTATGTTATAAGATCATTACAAAATAGCCATTTTGTTTCAACACACTCTGTGTCTTATCAAGTGATGATGTTTAAAAGAAAATAAATGGTTTTAAAAGTTTCAGATTAATTAACGATCCTACACTAGGGGAAACATTGTTACAAAAGCTAGAATAACCAATCAAAAACGAAGTATAGAAAGATTCAAAAAGCTTGACAAAGAAATCCTGCTATAATAGCTATTCAGATCTTTAAATACGTGTAATATTAAAAATAATTTATACTAACTAATAATTATAAAATTATATGATAAAATTTAATATTAAAATTAAAAACTGGCAATTTTAAAATCCAAATTTAATCACTATTAAGTTTAAAAACTACAAAATTATTGAGAAAAGAAAAAATATATATGTTTATTCAATTCATTTCTTCATTGAAATTACGTTCGACAAGGACGCTACAATATATCTGGTCATTTGACAATACATGTATATATATATATATATATTTTTTTTTTTTCCTTTCATTTCCGTTTTTATTTTAAAGTTTGTGAATGTGGTCTTAAACTCACGCGTAAAAACAACAAAAACACAATCAGATTATAATACATAAGCACCCAGACATAATTAGATATACATACACACACACACATACACACACACAAACACACACATACACACACACTAAAAAAAAAAAGGAGGAGGAGGTGGGGGGGGGAACTTGAACATCTATACAGCCCTTTATGAAAAAAGGAGACGTGGAAACTAACACTAATACACACACACAGTTAAATGTAAATACACTCTACATACACATAGACACCGATAGATACACATACATACATCCACAGACAATGACATAGACAATTAGAAATCACAACCAATAAATATTTCAGACTTAAATAAATGCTAACCATTTATTGAATTAAGGGAGCAAATAAACAAAGATAAAAATGGTTAAAATATTATTTAATATATTAAAACGAAAATTCTAAAACCATAAATATCAATAAAAATATATATTAATCATATAAGTTGATAATAGTTTCATTATATATTAGGCAAAGAAAAACAGTATAAAGAAACACACAACTATATACATATATATATATATATATATATATACACGGGAGCAAAAACAAATTAACACACATAAATATACACTCATACATTCATATACATACAGAAATACATACAAATAAATATATAAACATAAACATATACGCACATATACATATCTATGATAACAAGTACACATGCACGCACATATACATATAAACCTAAATACACACACATATATACACACAGACTTTTATGCACACATACTTACATATATAAAAAACAGTCATGATATACCAAAGTATCCATACCCCCACATACACACACACACAAACACATACATAATAGGTGCCAACACACACACATATATATATACATACATAAACATACATGAATATATATACACACATACATACATATCTACAAATAAACATATATATAAATATATCTATCTACAATAACAACTACCCATATCCACATGCATACATAAAAATACAACAACACTCAACCAAATACATACATAAACGAACTAACATATAGATACATAAATATACCTTCAAACACCAACACACAGCAATATACATATAGTCTAACATACAAATATATAAACACATTCATACAAACAGAAATACACTTAAATATAAATACACATACACAATAAAATAGGACATACAGATATATATATATGCACACACATATATATATATACACACATACATACACACATACACACCCACATACATATACAAATATATAGTGGCATAAAGCCGAAATTAGGGGGCACCCAGTGAGGAACGAACTCATTACTCAGTCGCACCCAATCTAGCGAACCATGCTGGCCAACCATTATACTG